TTTTTTTTTTTTTTTTTTTTTTTTTTTATTTTTATTTATTTTTTTTTTTAGGGCCTGGGCCAGCCCCCATCGGAGGGAGCGTCACCCAGCCCGCCCCAACCTCTGCTCCCAGTCACAGCCCCTGGCTCCTGCCCATGGCCTGGGCCCCAGCCACAGCTCCACTCTTTCCTCTAGCTCCCAACCACAGCTTCCAAGGGGAGAGGGCGGCATGGGCAGATTACATTGGGATAAGGGGGGGCACAACTTAAAGTTTGGGGACTACTGCCATAGAGTGTCCCACTGTACTTGGTATTGTTGAGACCTCACCTGGAGTATTGTGTCCAGTTTTGGGTACCACACTTTAAGAAAGATGTGGACAAAATAAACAGAGCCCAGAAGAGAGCAACAAAAATAATGTTTAAAAAGCCTGACCTATAAAGAGAGGTTTAAAAAAAAAATCGGACGTGTTTAGTCTTGAGAGAAGAAGACTGTTATCAGTCTTCTTCTCTCATGTCTTAAGGTCTATTTATAAAGAGGATGGGGATCAATTGTTCATGTCCACTGGAGGTAGGACAAGAAGGAATTGGCTTAATCTGCAGCAAGGTAGACTTAGGTTAGATATTAGGAAGAACATTCTAACTATAAGGATAGTTAAACCACTGGAATAGGCTTCCTTCCAATGAAGGTTGTAAAGTGCCTGTTATAGTAGGTTTTTAAGAACAGATTAGACAAACAACTGTCAGGGATGGGCTGTGTATATTTGATCTTGCCTCAGCATGAAGGCATGGCCTAGATGACCCCTCAAGGGCCCTTCAGCCCTACATTTCTATGATTTTATCTTTTTATACTTCCACAAGTATTTGTTTAGCTTGACATGCAAATAACATGTCATTGAATAGTCATAATTTCCTTAGATACAAAATAGTGTTGCTTGTTCCCATAAGGGATTTTGATTGGTTGTTTTTTGCTATTTCTAAATAGCTACCTCTATACAGAAGAGAACTCTACAGCTTTCCAGTTTTGTGTGTGTGTGTGTATGTGAGAGAGAGAGCCACCTACTGGAAGTCTTATTGGTGTATCCTTGTTATGTGTTACTTGGAACATCTCTAAAATGTATTGTTAATTTATCATGTCTTGTCTTTTCTTTGTGATGTAAATAAATAAATCCACAGAAACTAATGTTTTATCTTTTTAAAAGTGGGCTAGGAAAGTAAGGTAAACTCCTTGCACCAGGAGTCTCAATAGAATGTCAATTTTCAAATCCCTTCTTTTTGTTTTTATTTATAGGAACATCATCTTCAGCGAGCTATCTCGGCACAACAGGTATATGGAGAGAAGAGGGATAATATGGTTATACCAGTCCCAGAGGCAGAAAGTAATATTGCTTACTATGAATCTATATATCCTGGGGAATTTAGGATGCCAAAGCAGCTCATTCACATACAGCGTAAGTATAAATATTTTTTTAAATGTATGTGAAAGCCTATATCCAAAATGTTCCTACACTGTTTTAATTTAAAGGGATTTCTTAAACACCTATTGAACTACTGTTGAAACTTCCTTTCAAAGATTAATGTTTGTGCAGCATCTTAAGGTGTAAACCAGTGGTGAGCAACCTGTGACCCACAGGCCGCATACGCCCCATCAGGGTAAACATTTTGTAGACCAGGGGTCAGCAACGTTCGGCACGCGACTCACCAGGATAAGCACCCTGGCGGGCTGGACCAGTTTTATTTACCTGCTGACGCGGCAGGTTCGGCTGATTGCGGCCCCCACTGGCCGCGGTTTGCCGTCCCGGGCCAATGGGGGCTGCGAGAAGCAGCGCGGGCGAACGATGTGCCGGCCGCGGCTTCTCGCCGCCCCCCATTGGCCCGGGACGGTGAACCGT